CGATCCCTGGAGTCAGGTAGGGCTGCTGCAGAGGCTGCGAGGGCATTTGGCTTCACTGGGGATCCAGGCTCCCTCCTGGAGGATGGGGCGGAGTGATCCGAAGAAGGAGGCATGGCAGCCTCACACCTGTATGGATTCATTCATTCATCAGCAAATATTCCTCAAGCCCGCATTCTGTGTCAGGCATAGGAGAGACCACAGAGAAGAGGAGCCAAGCATGGCTGTGAATGAGCCATTTCTGGGCAAAACAGATAAAACAAACAGCAGCCAAAGAGACCAGTGTGGAGCTTGGGGAGAAAAGGTGCTTGGAAAAAATAAAGAGAATAAGCAATTATTTGATGCACCCTAAGGGCTTTCTCAGATCTCAAATGCCAGGATGGCACCAGACCTGTCCCCTTGCCCCAGCCACTGGTACTTACAGGGTAGAGGGCTCTGGCACTTTCTGGGCAGGGGTAGGGGTTATTCTGGCAAGACGGGGTCCCCTGGCCTGTGGAGACAGGAGAGAAGCAAAGGAGGCACTGTCTGCCCCAAGGCAGGAGCCTGTACCCCACACACTTCACGGCACCTACCTGAGAGGAGGCCTTTTCTAGGAGGGAGGAGGAGGCTGAGCGCTGCAGACACAGCACACCCTCTGCACCCCTCCTCTCTGAGGGACCCAGGGCACCAGAGCTTCCTGTCTTCTGGAGACCGCCGCGCCTGGAGAAGGGAGCCTCTTCTGGCGGCTGGGAGAGGAAGAAGGTCTTCATTACTGAGCAAAGCAATGACCCTTCTCCTCAGAGCCTACGCGTGTAACTCCAGGGGAATTACAGTAAACCACAGCCAAAGCAATGACCCTCCTCCTCAGAGCCTACGCGTGTAACTCCAGGGGAATTACAGTAAACCACAGCCAAAGCAATGACCCTCCTCCTCAGAGCCTACGCGTGTAACTCCAGGAGAATCACAGTAAACCACAGCCAAAGCAATGGCCCTTCTCCTCAGAGCCTACGCGTGTAGCTCCAGGGGAATTACAGTAAACCACAGCCAAAGCAATGACCCTTCTCCTCAGAGCCTACGCGTGTAGCTCCAGGGGAATCACAGTAAACCACAGCCAAAGCAATGACCCTTCTCCTCAGAGCCTACGCGTGTAGCTCCAGGGGAATCACAGTAAACCACAGCCAAAGCAATGACCCTTCTCCTCAGAGCCTACGCGTGTAGCTCCAGGGGAATCACAGTAAACCACAGCCAAAGCAATGACCCTTCTCCTCAGAGCCTACGCGTGTAGCTCCAGGGGAATCACAGTAAACCACAGCCAAAGCAATGACCCTTCTCCTCAGAGCCTACGCGTGTAGCTCCAGGGGAATCACAGTAAACCACAGCCAAAGCAATGACCCTTCTCCTCAGAGCCTACGCGTGTAGCTCCAGGGGAATCACAGTAAACCACAGCCAAAGCAATGGCCCTTCTCCTCACTGCCCCAAACCTCACATCTGCTCAGGGCGCTCAGGCTCACCACAGGGCTCTTGGGGCTGGAGGACACAGGAGAAGACACGCCATTGAGGGCTCTTGGTTGCACAGGAGGGTGATCTGTGTGCAGGAACAGGAGAGGGGGGTCACAGGAGAGGCCGGCCGCCTCTGAGATTGGGGACCCACAAGTCCAGCTCCTTCCTCAGACCCAGGGTCCAGCATCCCTACCAGCTGCCTCTTCTTCTCCCTCATCCTCATCCCCAAGAGAGGGGCCCGCGGCCCCACCAGGCCGGCGCTCCTTTTCGACAGATCCTGCAGGGAGATCTTCTCACGGCTGCTCAAACGACACACGGAGCTCCTAGGAGGACAGGGTGTCCGTGTCCAAGTCTGGGGGCGAGTCCGACCCACCCCAGGCCTAGGCATCTCTTACCTTCTGTGCTTGCTGTTGGAGGGCACCTGTGGCTCTTGGCCTCGGCTCTGAGAGGCTTCATTTTGCTTAGGAAGCTACAAGGATGGAAGGGGGCAACTGGGGAGGGGCAGAGAGCACAAGCCCTCCAGGGTCTCCTGGCCGCCCCCTCTGTGCCACCTCTCCACCTCGAGGGCCATCACGCATAACTGGGCTAGTCACACTTTATGCAGGGTCCTGCAAACATGGGGGACTCAGTAACCCGGCAGCACACTGGCTCTGGGGCTTATTCAGGCTCTCCCAGGCTTGGCCTGGTCCAGCTGTCACTGCCTCCAGCCTCATTCCCAGGGGGATTCGTCTTCTTCCCAGGAGCGAGCACCTTGCTCAGACTTCCCCCTACCCTCCAGCACATCCAGGGCAGGACAGGGCAGGTGGCTCTTTCTGGTTATCACAGGCCAGCTCTCAGCTCAAGGACAACGGCCACCGTCCCATACTAAGCAGTCTGGTGTCGTAACCCCAGGAACACCTCTTGCCCATGCCCTCCTTGCATCCCAGTGTGCCACGGGACTCCTCTCTGGACAATGTTCCCGATGGTTCCACGAGGCCCGGGCCACCTCACTAAATAATGGAATTGCAGCCATGCCGTCTGCTTGGGGCCACACCCATGATGCCTCACTCTCCACTTTCCTAGCAAAAGTGCTAACTAGAGTGGGGGGGGGGTAGATACAGGTTCAACCTGTGTCACACACAGCTGTCTTCCCAAGCGAGCAGGCAGGAAACTCTGGGCATAGCCTCAAGTCCTGGAGATATGGAGGTGCCTCTGTTCTTAGCCCTCCACCAGAGCTGGGCTGACAGGTGGGAATAGCGGGTCTCAGTACTGAGGGTGTCAAGGGACAAAGACTGTCAGCCCTCCCGGTTACTGTTACCTCCTCAGAGCTGCCAAGTAAAGAGGCAAACTAGAGTCGAGACTCACGTCCTCCTGTTTCTGGGCCAGTTCCTCCAAAAGGTTCATCACTTCCTCATCAGCCAGGTCACAGGGCCGCTGCCCCTGAGTAGGAGAAGGAGGCAGATGACGGTGATGGTGGTGGTGTAGTAGGGGCTCCCCCGCCACCCTGCCCCACCATCTGAGATGGCCCTTACCGCATGGGTCAGCGAATCCATGCCCCCACCGTGCTCAGCCAGGAGACGGCAGGCGTCCTCCACACCCCAGTGGGCTGCTGCGTGCAACGGTGTCCAGCCATCTCCATCCCGGAGCTCTGTGTCGTAGCCAGCTTGGAGTAGCAGCCTAAGGGCCAGGGAGGCTTGGGTCAGATGGCAAGCTAGGCCAATGGCTGATCTCAACTTCTGTTCTGTGGCCACAGGACTACTGATCAATACCCAAGCGTTACTAGTTTTACCAGCAACCAGCCCCACCCCAAGCTCAACTGAGCCCTCCCTTGGACCAGCAGCTACTAATGAAAAAGCTCCCTCATACCACAGGGATCCCACTCCTCAGGCCCCAGGGTAAAGGGTTAGGGCAGTGGTGAGGCGATGAGGTGGATGCAGGACTCCCCACTAACGCAAGCCCATGGAGAGGATGGACCCTGAAGGGGCTGTGATGCTGGAACCACTGGAACCACGCGGTTTTAGGACACGGATCCTCAACAGTGTCAAGCAGCTCTCACACCCTCTCTACAACTGGAGACATCACCACTAGAATCCTAACTTACGGGTACAAGCAGGAAGCACCAGTGTGTGGGAGCTGGAGAGGCTGCTCAACCCCCTCCCACGCACAGGACAGCCCTACCACAGCACGGTAAGACCCCAAACATCACAGTGCCGGAGGAGAGCGAGCCTGGCTCAGCCTTCCAGAAGGTAACAACCTGGAGCTCTCAAAACTCAGCATGGCACGAGGCGAGGCCTCTTTTGGAAGCAGTGTGATGAGGTCCTGTGTCAGTGAGGAAGGCTTCAAGCCCAGGGAGGCAGAGGTACAAGGCACAAGGTGCTGTGTGGCCCTGGGACCCTCCTCCCTCACACTTCCCAAGATTCCCCTGTCCCCTTGCAGCAGGGCACGCTGGGCTTCTTGTTACATTCCCACATGCCAGGGTCTCTAGCCAGCTGAGCGCTCCTTCTGGTCAGTGCCACCCAGCCACACCCCCTAGTCCATCAGCACTTCCTCACCTGGCAGTTTCTTCACCACCATCTCTGCCAGGGGGCCTCCCTACTGCCCACTAGTTATAGCCTCCCAAGGCCAAGGTTTTCTTTGTATAAGCTTAGTGTTATTTACCATTAGTGTGTGTGTCTGTGTGTGTGTGTGTGTGTGTGTGTGTGTGTGTGTGTCTGTGTGTGTGTGTGTGTGTCTATGTGTGTGTGTGTCTGCGTGTCTGTGTTTGTGTGTGTGTGTGTGTCTGTGTCTGTGTGTTGTGCATAAATGCCAACACACATGCCCCAGTATGAAGATCATGGATGAAGATCAGAGGACATATTCAGGATTCACTTTCTCCTTCCACCACCGGTTCCAGGACCTAACACAAGTCACCAGGCTCTTGTGTGGCCAACACTTTTACCTCTGAGCTATCTCACTGGTCTAGAAGCCAACGTTTGCAGCTGGACCCTGCTACTCCCCAGAGGACCTGTGGCAATGTCTACAGTCATCACACAACTGGGTCAGAGGTGCTGCAATGGACTGGACAGCCATCAGAATAGAATGACCCAGCCCATCAAGTCTCTCATTGGCTGGGGGGGAGACACATCTGAAACACCACGACCAGCCCAGGAGGCTAGCCCCTAACAGACACCAATATTTACCTGTACTTCAATGAGTACAATCATAGAAGACTTTTAATACAGTCAGAAACAATAGATAACTATAAATTCAGTGAACAGGAGTCTAAACGCAAACTCACACAAAGGGGGCCATCACAAAATTACAAAATTCAGTATGATGGCTCACACCTGCAATCCCAGAACACAGAAGCTGAGGCAGGAGGACAGCTGTGAGTGCAAGGCCAACCTAGGCTATCTATCAAGTACCAGGCTAGTCAGGACTACATAGCAAGACCTTGTCTCCATTAGAAAAGAAAGAAGCCAGAGGGGAGGGAGGCAAGCATGGTGGCTCTCACCTCTATCCCACAGGAAGGTGAAGGAACAAAGAGTAGAAATTCAAGACCAGTGAACTAGAGGCGATCATGACCGACATGAGCTATTTATGGAAGAGGCCAAATAAACAAACACAAAAGTTGTCATCAGTGCATTTTTTTTTTCAGGGCTGGGACTGGAACCCAGAACGCTAGGCAAGTGCTCTATCCCTGAGGCACCCCCCCCTTCCCTCACGGGTAGACACCAGGGAAGCATCTATCTACCTATGGCCTGCGACCACAGCCCAGTGCTTCAGTTCTGGGACAAGTATTGGCTCACTTTCTCTACTAACTAGCCCCCCGGACCTATGCAGGTGACACCGGGGAAAGCATTTAAGCACAAAGACAGGAAGGAGTTCTGATCACCAGAATCCACTTAAAAACTCAGTGGATAGCTGTTATAAAAAAATGACATCAGGGTGGAGAGAGATAGATGGCTCTGCTCTTCCAGAGACCCGGGTTCAATTCCCAGCACCCACACGGCAGCTCCAGGGGTTCTGACCCCTCACACTGACATAACACAGACAGGCAAAGCACTAATTAATGCACATTAAAAAAAATAACATCATGAAATCTGCAGGCAAATGGATGGAACTGGAAAAAAAAAAAAAAAAAAACATCCTGGGTGAGGTAACCCAGCCCCAGAAAGACAAACATGGTGTGTACTCATTTACAAGTGCACATTAGCTGTTCAGTGAAGGACAAGCATGATACAATCCACAGACCCAGAGAGGCTAGGTAACAAGGAGGGCTCCGGGGAGGGATGGTGAATGGATGCCCCAGGGAAAGGG